GGGTTGGGGGGGTGGGGGATGTTAACGTTCAGGTGAACTTGCGTCACATGCACATCTTACGTTACGTCACTGGGTTGGGGGGGTGGGGGATGTTAACGTTCATGTGAACTTGCGTCACATGCACATCTTACGTTACGTCATTGGGGGGGGGGGGGGATGTTAATGTTCATGTGAACTTGCGTCACATGCACATCTTACGTTACGTCACTGGGTTGAGGGGGGTGGGGCATGTTAACATTCATGTGAACTTGCGTCCATGCACATAACGTGACGTCACTGGTGGGGGGGGGGGGATGTGGGGATGTTCAACGTTCATGTGAAACTTGCGTTCCATTGCACATCTAACGGTACGTCACTGGGTTTGGTGGGGGGGGAATGTGAACGTCATGTGAACTTGCGTACCCATTGCACATCTCACGTTACGTCACTGGGTTGGATGGGGGTGGGGATGTTAATGTTCATGTTAACTTGCGTCCCATGCACATCTAACGTTACGTCAATGGGTGGGGGGGGATGTTAACGTTCATGTTAACTTGCGTCCCATGCACATCTAACGTTACGTCAATGGGTGGGGGGGGGATGTTAACGTTCATGTTAACTTGCGTCCCATGCACATCTAACGTTACGTCACTGGGTGGGGGGGGATGTTAACGTTCATGTGAACTTGCGTCCCATGCACATCTAACGTTACGTCAATGGGTGGGGGGGGGATGTTAACGTTCATGTTAACTTGCGTCCCATGCACATCTAACGTTACGTCACTGGGTGGGGGGGGATGTTAACGTTCATGTGAACTTGCGTCCCATGCACATCTAACGTTACGTCAATGGGTGGGGGGGGGATGTTAACGTTCATGTTAACTTGCGTCCCATGCACATCTAACGTTACGTCACTGGGTGGGGGGGGGGGGATGTTAAAACGTTCATGTGGAACTTGCGTCCCATTGCACATCTAACGTTACGTCAATGGTTGGGGGGGGATGTTAAACGTTCATGTTACTTGCGTCCCATGCACATCTAACGTTACGTCACTGGGTGGGGGGGGATGTTAACGTTTCATGTTAACAACTTGCGTCCCATGCACATCTAACGTTACGTCAATGGGTGGGGGGGGGATGTTAACGTTCATGTTAACTTGCGTCCCATGCACATCTAACGTTACGTCAATGGGTGGGGGGGGGATGTTAACGTTCATGTTAACTTGCGTCCCATGCACATCTAACGTTACGTCACTGGGTGGGGGGGGATGTTAACGTTCATGTGAACTTGCGTCCCATGCACATCTAACGTTACGTCAATGGGTGGGGGGGGGATGTTAACGTTCATGTTAACTTGCGTCCCATGCACATCTAACGTTACGTCACTGGGTGGGGGGGGATGTTAACGTTCATGTGAACTTGCGTCCCATGCACATCTAACGTTACGTCAATGGGTGGGGGGGGGATGTTAACGTTCATGTTAACTTGCGTCCCATGCACATCTAACGTTACGTCACTGGGTGGGGGGGGGATGTTACAATAATTTCACATACACACTAACTTCACACACACACAAACTTAACATACAATAATCTCACATACAATAACTTCACACACACAAACTTAACATACAATAATTTCAGACAAACTTCCCACACACAAACTTAGAATACAATAATCTCACAGACAATACACACACACAAACTTAACATACAATAATCTCACATACAATAACTTCACACACACAAACTTAACATACAATAATTTCACAGCAGGCGTGGCACTTGGTGACATCCACCTTGATATCACGTGGCAGGCGTGGCACGAACTCACAGCCACCGTCGTTTTGCGTGGCAGGCGTGGCACTTATGGTACTGGGTGGCGCGCTTGGTCCGGCTTTGTCGCCTGGGCGCCGCGCCACTTTGCGTGGCAGGCGTGGCACTTGGTGACATCCACCTTGATATCACGTGGCAGGCGTGGCACGAACTCACAGCCACCGTCGTCACACACAACTGTTTTAACTTCTCGATCCTTCACCACATCCTTTGTCTTTCCTTCCTTCCCTGTCCCCGCTACAACCTTTGAAGCTCATTCTTGGAAGAAGTTGACTTGTGGGGTTATCCGGTCCTTTAATTTTAAAAATATTTAAAAAAATAGGAAAGCCAGCCGAGAAACTGGCTAGTTGCTATTTGTCTGCTATTTGCGAACGAAGTGAGACTATTCAGAATAGGGGGTCTGGGGGGATAGTTGCCAAACGGGTCAAAAATCGGAAAATAGGTTGTGATTTTAGTCAGACGAAAGTATGGTTTTGCAGGGTAATGTACCAGGCGGCAAAACAGTGGCGGTGGGTATCGATTCCCCCTAGGTCCGGTTTTCTGGGGTTTTCTGGGCTCAGTCAATGGACAGATAGATGGGCCCAGCTAGTTAGAGGAGATTGGAGAGAGAAGGACATTGGGTGAAAAGTATGTGCAAGAAGGGTTTCTGGGTGAAGAGTCTCTGGGTGATCAGTATATGGGTGAAAAGTATTTGCAAAAAGAGTTCCTGGGTGAAGAGTCTCTAGGTGAAAAGTCTGTGCAAGAAGAGTTTCTGGGTGAAGAGTCTCTGAGTAAAAAAAATATATGGGTGAAAAGTATGTGCAAGAAGAGTTTCTGGGTGAAGAGTCTCTGGGTGAAGAGTCTGTGCAAGAAGAGTTTCTGGGTGAAGACTCTCTGGGTGAAAGCTATGTACAAGAAGAGTTTCTGGATGAAGATGAGAGTCTCTGGATGAAAAGTATATGGGTGAAAAGTATGCGCAAAAAGAGTTTCTGGGTGAAGAGTCTCTGGGTAAAAAGTATATGGATGAAACATATGTGCAAGAAGAGTTTCTGGGTGAAGAGTCTCCGGGTGAAAAGTATATCGGTGAAAAGTATGTGCAAGAAGAGTTTCTGGGTGAAGAGTCTCTGGGTGAAAATTATATGGGTGAAAAGTATGTGCAAGAAGAGTTTCTGGGTGGAGAGTCTCTGGGTAAAAAGTATATGCGTGAAAAGTATGTGCAAGAAGAGTCCCGGGGTGAAAATTATATGGGTATATATGGGTGAAAAGTATGTGCAAGAAGAGTTTCTGGGTGAAGAATCTCTGGGTGAAAAGTATGTGCAAGAAGAGTTTCTGGGTGAAGAGTCTCTGGGTGAAAAGTATATGGGTGAAAAGTATGTGCAAGAAGATTTTCTGGGTGAAGAGTCTCTGGGTGAAAAATATATGGGTGAAAAGTATGTGCAAGAAGAGTTCCTGGGTGAAGAGTCTCTGGGTGAAAAGTATATGAATGAAAAATATGTGCAAGAAGGGTTTCTGGGTGAAGAGTCTCGGGGTGAAAAGTATATGGGTGAAAAGTATGTGCAAGAAGAGTTTCTGGGTGAAGAGTCTCTGGCTTAAAAGTATATGGGTGAAAAGTATGGGCTTCGAGGTCAGCAAAAGATGCCGCTGGAGCAGCTTGCATCCCATGGTGGCAGGAAATCCGGGCTAAAGAAATCAGCCCTCAAAACTTCTTAAGTGGGCCAAATTGACTTAACATGCGGGCTCTAGAGAATTTTGTATCGTGTTATTTTCGATGATTTCTCTTAAGAAATTGTTGAACATATTACATGCCTCTTGGCTCTATACATCTTGAACCATCTTGAACCCCTGCTGCAGCACCCTTGCCTGGATAGGTCCCAGGATT